AGGCCTCTGTTTTTACTTTTTTCTGTACGTTTTATACTGTCAGGCGGGCTTATCAGTTTGGCAACATTTTTTCGCGTCTGGTGAGCACCGCCGCACTAACAACATGCAAAATAAATTTACAGACGGATGAAAACAAAGGCGTGGTTGCTAGTTAGTCTCTCTCTCGCTCAAACCGGCAGATAATTATCGAGCTTTATGTAATATTGGCGGAGGAGAAATAATGTGTGATGAGAGGGAGGAGGGGCCGACCAAGGGCAAAAAGGTTGCCAGCATAGATTCGACCTGTTTGACCTGACGTGCCTGCTGGCAAAGACTTTCCGAGCGCCTGAATGTAATAATTCGTTTTGTATTTCAGAAATTGATATCTATAATGATCGGATCGAGTCTCTTAACAAAAATATTTTTCTATTCAAGTATCAAATTCATATGCGTTTTATATTGAAGTGTTTTTTAACTTTTATACAATAATAATTAAAATTTAAGCTACAAGCAGTTAAAAAAAAAGATTCATATTACTTGAGAATTTATTAAAAAAAATGTAAATAATATGTAAACAAAATGCCAATATTTTTACAATATTTGTAAATCTTCCATTAGTTAACACAATGATTTATTTTAGGTTGGCTTAACGCCAATCTATACTGTATATTGAAAGTTGCTGATATAATCTTGAAGGCTTATTAAAAGTCAGGAAATAATAACTTTATCCTTCATTCTGAATGAACCTCGCCAAGCAGGAATATGATTTCCATCAATTATAAAATAATATTTAAAAGGTTTGGAAAAAATTCATAAATATTTGTCAAAATTCTAAAAATGTAAAGATAATTAAACTTTTGTTACAAAGCTTATTTCGATACCCAACCCTATCAAAATGTAAACAAGATCCAAACAAAAACAAGAGTGTTTTTCTGACATTGAAAGTCCAAAGGATCACTCTTTTGAAACTGCCTATGTCTGGCTTCACACTACTTTTCCCTGGCCAGGCCGAGCAGCTCAGCCAGAGCAAATTCAGCTGAGCTGTTGGAAATTTGTTTGCGACAGCCAGGCGAGCTTGCCGTTTTTTTATCCCTCTCATGTGAAATATCAAAGGCTGCTTTGTGCATGTGTGCATGTCTGACGGACTCGAGCAAAGTCTCTCTTTGCACCTCGTGTGCATAACTCGCCGGGTACACCAGAATCGATTCCCGGCGTCTGCAGCCGTGCCCGGCGCAAAGTAAAATGCCGCTCGCCGGGTGCATTGTTTTCGAGCCATGTCTGGCCGCGCGACCCACGTGCTCGCCAAAATAGAGTCTGATCAATAATTCAACGGCGCCGCTGCTTTCGGATGCACCACGGCGGCGCATTATCATGAATTGTCACCCGATTACCAAAACAAGTGTGTCAAGTTGCGATCGCGTAAATTTTCGCAGACGTGCGTGAGACTGTATAAATTTCCAATGAGGCTAATCAGGTTTGAAAATCGATACTTTCTCAACCTCTATTTTGCTCATAGTTGAAAAAATGGCCCAAATAATAAATCTGGATTGGGCATGGATATATTTTCGATCGAAAGTCTAATGAAATTTTTGCAATTTTTTTATTTCCAATTTTTTGCTTCCATATAAAAATTTGAGATTAGCATTTATCTTTCTTTTCTATTTGTAGGTTGACAATTTTCAATTTTGCAAGCTTTTTTCACGATTTTAAATTTTTCTTGATCCACTTCTTAAATAAACTGCAACAGTCCAAATTTTTATATTGTTTTTGATTCTGTAGTCACAAATTTTAGCAAAAGCTTCCGATAAAGTAAGATCACGCCATTGACAATTACTTGGCACCAGAATGTTTCCAAATTTGAATTTGTAATAAAAAAGAAATTTAAATCTTTGAAATTTAAAAAAATCTTGGAATTAAGACTATAAATTTCTATTTATTTATTTTAAAATAATAAGTTAATGATTATGCATTTGATTGAAATTATTCTTTACTCTTTTTATCAAATAATCAGGTTTATCATTTTGTGGCCATCAAATTAATTTGTCAACCGCCAACGGCCTCAACAACATTTTTTGCTTATCATTTATCTCTCGTCCCAGCATCATGTCAGAAACATCTCAGCCTTTACATTGCATGTTTGCACAAAACGCCAGCGCGTAGATTGTTTTTGTTTACAGTCTGCCACGGTGCCTCTTTTTTTCGGACGCGGGGGGCCCGGAATTATTATTATGTGCTGCGAGTGCTGCTCCGAGCCGGCCGGCATGAGTGCTTCGCAAAGTGCGCAGCAGAATTAAAAAGTGTGCGGCGGCGAAGTTACATCAAAATAAAATTCCCGCAGCTGTGCCGCTCAAATAATCACCGGTCGCGAGACGAGAAAACGAGTTTCAGTTATAAAGGCGGATCCAATTGAAAACATAATCCTTTCCTAGTTTATAAAATCAAGCAGACCGGTCTGCTTTGCATTAAAATTGCAGTTTCCAAGTCTCGTTTGAATATTCAAAATTATGAGATGCGAGACCACTTGGAAGATCTTACGAAGCTTGTTGTATATTCAGAATAAGTCTCAGTTCAAAGCTTGAGGTAGGGTCAATTGTAAATAACTCCCGCGGCCCTTATTATGGAATCCGTCTCTCTTTTTACTTGGTCGCAGTTCGCACGCGGCACATTTATCTTGGTCTGCCATTGTATATGTATGAAGGTAGCAATTTTCTGCGGGAATAAAAAAAAATTAATGCAATATTCCACGTAATATGCTGATGTGCTGGCGGATGCTCATTATTCATCTCTTGATCGACGCGATATTAAAACGCAGCTGCCGCTCAGACAAAAGTCAGGTTCCTCTCAATTTGTGTCAATTCAGGCAAGTTTTGAAGGTAAAATTGAAATGAAAAATTAGATTAGTTCATTAACAGGAATGAAAAGCTATAAAGTCACAACGATTTAAATTGATCTGCAATTTTTAAAAGAAATTAACTAAATTAATTTTAAGTAGTAATGAACTATTTAGAATATTTGATTATATTAAAAAAATTAATTTCCTTCTCTCTAAAACTAATTCCATTTTGAATTTTCCACAAATTATTAGAGAATTTCCAAAGCAAAAGAAGCTTCTAGTCACGCATATCGAGTATTAATTTTTATAAGAAGTTAAGGTGCATCTCCGGCATTCCTGCGGCTTCCTGCCGGCAAAAGCATTCGGGCTGAAGGAAATTTCGGCAAACTACGCAGTTCGCATTTCAGGTCCAACAAGGCAACTGCGCATGGCTAGGCAGGCAGCCGCTCTCTTCTCTGTTGGACTCAACACGGCTAAAAAGAGCAATGGGGAGAGAGCAAGCGACGAGGAACCAACCATCATCGACCCATTCAGCCCTCATGCTATAACCGCTATAACTTTGAGCAAGGTCAATGCTAAAGCGCAACACCGACGTTTTCGATGCACACAAGCGCGCCGGCAAAAGTGCATTCTCGGAAATGACCGAAAAGTAAAAATGAATTGTTTTTACGTTGATAGCCAAGCGTGTCCTTTGTTCTGACAATGCGTGGAAATTTTCTTGGGCGGCGAAGTGATAAAAAATAAAGGCTGATTTTACGCTGCGTTGAGTTTCCAGACCTTGGAAAATGCTGATAAGAAAAAAAATTAAATGAAGCAAAACTTTAACCTTAAAAAAAAACGTAATATTTTGAAAATAAGGGGAAATGCGTTTTAAAGACAAATTCAAACTCCAAATATTTTACTTCCAAAAAGCAATTATGAATAAATACAATATTTACTTTTTTTCCATAATTTTTATGAGCATAAAGTTTTAAAAATAGAAACTTCCAGTTTCCTTCTGAACATTATACCAGTTATTTTTCACTTAATCTTTTCAATGCTGTCAGCACAAGAATTATTTGTTCAGCCTCAACAAAATTCAGACAGCGTGAAAGCAAAAAAGACAAAAATATTGCACGCTTGATGCACAATTTGAAAACAATAAACCCCTTTCACTTGTCCTTTAACTTAATTATTATTAAATTTTGCTGCACTTTTGGTTGTCCATTTTTTATATTTTTGTTTTTCTTTCAAAATCATCTGACCATGTTTGCCAAGATAAGATTACGAATTTCCACTCACTGATAAGTGGTTAATGTAAAATCGTCTCGTTATGAAGGTTATTAATAATTTTTTTATCTTCGGTGCACCGCGACCGATTCCGGCAGCGCCGGACTAGGGTAAGCGCAAAAGTACGCAGTTTGCGAATTCGAGCCAATCACAGGGCTACAAGTTTTTCTTTTTCGCTGGTCGTGTGCAGAAAGAAAGAAGGAGCAAAGCGAGCAAAGCAGCCTCTCCTTCACAACACACATTCAAGAAAGAAGAGCGGAGCTGCGGGGAGAATAAAAAATAAAATATATCGCATGTTGTTTAGCTTTAGCTCGCGAGACCGATGTGGAGTGACGAGGCGGCGTTGCCGATTTTAGCAACAAAAACAAGCAGCTCTTGAATCTCCTTATTCCATGACAATGGGAGAAAAGCTGCTCCGGAGAAAAATCCTCGACTGGATTATTTCGAGTAGCAAAAGGTCAACTGTAAAGTGCGACTTAATTTTTGGGCCCTCAGGGACAAGAGACTGGATCTGATCATTCTTATCTCGATACTTTCAAGTTCTCAGAAGAAAAAATTTGAAAAAATTCAAAGAATTATAAAATTAAATTTTGGAACATGTAAACATTCTCAGTTTAACTTTAAAATAAAAAAACAGGACATTGAAACTAAATAAACCTTCGATAAGGAAGGCACTTCAAACTGAAAAGCTGATTATGAATTAACAAATAATTATGATCATTGTTTTCATTCTGATGATACAATTTTCATACAATTCATTGTTTTAATTTGGTTTTCAGATTGATCCTTGCATAAATATCATTTTAAACAGTGAAATCAGTAACAATGAAATATTTTAAATTTTAACAGGAGTGTAAAATGTATGAACTTAAAAATTTTAACGATGTCTTTTTTCTGTAAATCAATGAGTTTTTCTCACCCTTCTTAGGCAGTCCTCGTCCGTAGCCACTCCTGGAGCGGCGGCTGTTCTTGAAGTACCGCGGTTGTTGGACAACCGCGATGCCATTCGGCGACGACTCCTTGCTGTTCTGCTTCGTCAGGCGGCGAGCCTTCTTCTTGATCCTCAGGTCGACAGAGGCCGAAGGCATCATGACGGTGCCGTTGGTCTGAGTCGCCGACGCCTCCAGGCCGTCGCCCATCTCGCCGCCGTTCTTCTCCAGTCCGTTCTCGAAACCGTTCACAGTCTCTACGTCCATCATGGTGGCGGTGGTGCGGCGGCGGCGGCGGTGCGATGGCAAACAAAAATGCGAATATCACAAAGGAATTGCGGCTTAAAGTCTCTTGTCTCGTCTCCCTGCGGATGTTCAGTGATGTGATGGGTGTCAGCGGTGGCCGCTGTCCGGTGAAATTCAGAATGGTCTTCAGAAGGGAGCGGTGAGGACAATGAAAATGCAGATGCGTTGCTTGGCACGGTGTTCCCTTCGCGGCGGACGAACTCGATTTGTTTTGTTTTGAAAATTTTCGATCGGGTACTACGCAGATAGCAGAAGGAGTGCGGTGCGAAATCGTTGTGATTGTTGGCAAAGGACATCTGCGCTCTCATTGGTTAGAATTATCTACCGCTCGTCTGACAGCCAATCACGGTGGAGGTAGATAAACTGGTGTTTGCGTTTCAAAAGCTCTGTAAATGCTCTTTGACCAATCAACATTGCTCTTTTGAGGGCATGTTGGAAAAACGATTCTCATTGGCTGCCACGAATGGCGCGAGTTTCGCCGTTCGTGGAGAGGCGAATCGATAATTCGTGGGGGCCACCCAATTCTCCTCTTTCCTGAGTATCCTGTTCTAGAAAATTCAACGAATAATCCTGGGGATTGATCCGTTTTGTCAACCTACTTTTGTAAAGCTTCTCTTATAAAAGGGAATGATTGTCTTTTTATTGATTGTTATGCGGTTGTAAGATGTTATTAGTTTAGATATCTTTTTCTCATAATATAATATAGATAATATACATATCATTTTGCCGGCGCCGCTCAATAAAAAGGCAAAAATAAAAAAGTTCAACTGAAACCATGCCCGCATTCATAATGAGTTGCAAAAAAAAAATACTTAAATTGCATTGCAGCTGATTGGATTAATGACAGTGAATTAAGCAATACGTCTATAAAAACTTGTAAAAACATCATTATAGAGCATATAGATAATAATATAATCATCAAGATCAAAGTTTTACATAAATTGATTGCGATAACATTTTTGGCCAGAAGACTGGGGTGTTCTGTGTCCCCCCTCAAGGAGACACCTTTACTGCTAGAACTCACCGGAAACTTACAAAATTATATATAAAATGCAAGACTAAAAAATTTTAATATTATTCAAGAATTATTAGATTATTATTTTTCTAGAATAAAGCAAAAATATGTGTATGTAGCCAGAGGTTAATTACCGCTTTGGCATTTAATTTTCAGCACTTCGTAAGATAATCCTTTTGCAAAAATTTGCTGCGCAGAAATGCGTGTCCCAGAGAGAGGCTAATTGTTTTAGTGGATCGACTTTATGACAGAGGGTTATGTTTGCACAAGGAAGCGAGGAGACGTACCTGCAAGATATATTATATGTTGCAATTAATTTAGGGTTGGCAAAAAGAGGGCTTATACATCTCTGCCGTTAATATAATATGAATAAAGAACTTAAAAATAAATTACTCTTTATCTTCATCAAATATCAGCAAACTATTTTTTTCATTTCATTTTTTTTTACTAGACATAGCCTCTTTTTTTAGATGTATTTCTATTTTCCAAGTGTTTCCAAGTTGCGAGAATTAACTACAATAATTAATTTGTTTGTGAATTATTCTGGTGTTCACTTTAACTATTCATAAATTTTGTATGTGTAATACACAATAACTAATATACACTTTTTAAAGCCCATTCATTTAATTTTTTTTTTGTAACAGAATATTATTTGTTTTCAATTTCTTGTATGCTTTTTATTTTTATTTTTTCAACATTTTGCACAAGCTACATCCTATTGATTGTTGTTAAGTTTGGCGTGATGTTTGATTTTTGAACACCTTTACATCTTTAGGAAGGACAATGGATGGAGGTTCTATTAATACAATTTTGGACGGTAAAACACAAAATAATAATTTTCTCATTCATAGACTGACAACACTGTTCAAAATAGGGCTTCTTGAATAATTGGCACACTATTTTTGCAATATATGGAAGTTCTCACATAAGCAAGCAGAAGACGACATGTTTCTTTTCAATTCCTAGGGAAAAATTTGGCAGTAGCACAGCAACGTATAAAATTGCCTAAAGACGCTACGAAGCTCACATTGTTAATGGGACGTGATAGTAAAATATTGGAACTTCCCTCTTTAGTAATTTCTACGATCTAAACGGCACTGCTAATTTCTAACATTTTGATGTCTTCCGACGGGGAAGGCGTTTTGTTGTGCGGGGAATTCGAATTGTGGCGAGCGGCGTATTTCAGGTCCAGGACTCGACTCAAAAGCTCCGAGTTCGCTCGTTCGAGCAGACCGATTTTCTTGTTCAGGAGACCCACTTCCTGCTCTTTGTCTCGAGATGTGTTGTCTGATGCCATCATACTAATGGATCATAAATTTGTTTAATGAGGTTAATTAAAAAAAATATTATTTTACTTCACAACTAGCTTCCTCTTGTCATCTTGGAGCCTTCTGTAGTCAGCTTCGACCCGCCTTCTAAGGCCCTCTTCACCTCTCAAGGTCTTTTTCTGCATGGCAAGTCTAGCTTGCAAAGCATCGACTTCACTTTGTAGAGAACTAAGTTCGACATCCAGCCGGGCTCTGAAATTATTTATTTATTATTTTTGCTACACCATTCGTGGCACAATTAAATTTACCTCAAATCTTCCACTTGTGCTTTCCTTTTTGATTTGTACTGGAGATGTCTCATAGCCAGAGAGTTGTATTTTTCAGTCAAAAGACCGACCTGGCCCTTCAGTTTCTCTTGCTCTGTCTGCAACCGGGTAACCTCTTCAATACGGTGCGGATCCGTTCTCTCCAGCAAGGCTGCGTATCTCCTCGGGGATGGAACACATCCTCCAATGTTGAGGTCAGATCTAAGAAAATAACTTGTTTTAAAACCATTTTCTTCTGTAAAAATTTTACTTTGAATCTCCGCCTATTTCAAGCTTTCTCAGCAATGAGAGTCTGGGACTCTCTGCCGTCAAGGCAGATATTTTAGGACTTTCTTTTGGACTTGGCTCCTTTTCTTTTAAATTTTCAGTGACGATAGGGTCTTTACTGGTGGGCAACGCTTTTTCTTCCTCTCCACCCTCTTCTGTAGGACTAGGTGAGCCAGACGAGAGCAAATCGTCAGCAGATGTTAACCGTTTATGACGAGGCCAGGCAGAGTTTTTACTTCCAACTAAAAATACTTTTCATCAGCACACTGACTTAAAAATTTGAACGTCAAAAGAAGTGTGAAGGGTGATTAAAATAATAAACCACAAAAACATTTGGAAACCTAATGTGCTGAACTAAATTAAATTTTCTAGCAACAACAAGTAGTAAAATAAAGTTGAGAATTATAATAACTTAATTCTACTCAACAACAATAGAACGATTGTTAAGACTCACAAGGTCCCAGTTGCCGCAACTGGGTTTCTCGTTCTTCTAGCTCTGCTAAAGCTTCAGAAAGCTATCATTTGTAAGCAGCATTGTAAAAGTGCATAACATTATTAGTAATTGGCTAGCGCTGGTTATTAAGGTTGACTAGTTATCTTTAATTTTAAGCCAACGATAAATCACTGTTTACCTTGTATGCAAGTCTTTCGTTGTCAAGTTCCAGTTGACGTGAAGCCTTTTCCAGCAACTGAACCCTCTCGCACATCTCTTTGACCTCTCTTTTCAGCACCTCCCGCTCCGATGACACCTAATTTATTTTATATTATTTTACCAAATTACTTAAACATTAAAAACAATACTTTAATTATTTCTGACAGGAGTTCTCCTTCCTTATTCATCCCGTTGACTCCGTCAGAAAATTTCAACTTCCTCAAAACGTCGATCTCCTCAATCAGTTTGGCACGATCCGCAATCAAAAGAGCAACCTGATGGAAATTATGATAAATTAGAATTTTTCAAATTTATTTTGAATAAAATTTACCTGCTCTCCTACCCAGTTATCATCTCCAGGAGCAGCGTCGTCGGGAAGTGCAGTCGACTCCAAGCCACTGCGTTGCAGCAGATTTGCCAAAGTGACCGCCTGTCTCTGCTGAACCTCCAGTCGCGACCTCAGGGTCATGACCTCGGACTCCAGATGGGCAGCCCTGGTGTCAGCTAACTGGCGAACGTGAGCAACGTATCCCTCCATTTCCTCCAGCTCTTCGTGTTGGACCTCTCGCAGTTTGTCCAGCATCCTTCGGGAGCTTCGAAGGTTGCTCTCCGCGTCCTGAAGCCAACGCCACAGATGCAGGTGTCGCTCGCCCGTTCCCAATCCATCCCAGTCCAAACCCTCCTTCTCAAAGCGCTGTTGAATCTCCCTCAACTCCTCCTCACACTGAGCAAAAATTGTAGAGATACAAAAAAATTATTTTCCTCAGAAAAGAAATCGCGAGTTTTGCTCACCGAATTTTCCTCCGCCGATGACATGACGAGACAGGACGAATTCAAGTTTTCAGGGTAGTTCGAGAATATTCAGAATTATGCTCCGGAGTTGGATCCAACTCGGCCTGCATCCTTGCTCACGTAGACGAAGATCAAAGCTGTAATATATTTTTACATTTGTATGCCGTGTCGCTCATTAGAAAAACATTTTAGTCGTTTTTTGTTGTGATTGAATTGTGCTTCGACGGGAAACCTGCTGATGGCAGCACCAACAGCACCGCCCTAAAATTTTAGAGCGCTGATTGGACGAGAGAGGAATCCAACATTGATCCGTGTTGTTCTCTGGCGCAAAATTCGTGTGCTGCAGCAAAGGCGGCAAAATACATAAGCGGGATTAGCGGGAATTCGTGCAGGTTCCGGCATTAGTTGCATTTCGCACACATCATACAGGCGGCTCGGAGGCTGTCATTGCTCATTGCCAGTTCAAAATCAAACAAATCGAAGACATTTGCACCCCGTCGCAGGGTGTGCTCTTTTGATTTTGCAATTTCATCGTCTTGGCACTGTTATGGATCCGCCACTGCAACCCTCAAAGCTGGAAGAGCCAGAGCAAGAGGCCTTAGAGGCCCCAGAGCAAAAAATGGTTCAAGATGAATCTAAACCTATCTTACATTCAGCAATAGCTAGTATCAAGATGAAAGAAAAAGCGCAAGCTCAACGCAATCGGAAGTCTTTGGAAGGTATAATTATCATAATTATAATTAGATAAGATTTATCGAGATTTATATTCCTTATTTTCCTTATTTTCTACGTATCTATCCTAAATAATTATATGAGAATTATGATTCATGTATTGTGCTCTCTAAAGTTTATTTATAAAGTAGCTTATGTATAAAATATTAATAATTTAATTAATTTAATCGTATTTATTTACTTTCTTTTAAATTTTTAATATTATTCCTGACATAAGTCACTTAATTTTTAGTGCTGATCAAAACGGGCGCCATGCAGGAACACAATGCACAGCTCACCGCAGAAATTGCTGCCAAAGAGGAAAAGCTGAATGAACTGACAAATCAGATTGCCATGAAGTCACTTGAGATGAAAATGAGGGAATTTGGGAAAAAATGTGTGATTGAAGCTCGAAAGCTTTACTGGAAACTGGAGGAAGAACATCTCAATAATTCAGTAAGTTTTTAATGTGCAATTTTTTATTGTATCTAAATTTTTTACTAATTTCAGTACAAATTCTATGAGGACAATTGGGAAAAACAAAGGGCTGAGATTCAGGCAATCTACGACCAAGCCGCTGAAGTGCGTGCGGAAAAAGTCAGTGAGGATCGCAAGAAAAATATCTTTGAATTTGTCAGCTTTGACTGGGACAGTATTGAGCCAAAGAGTTCCGCAGCAGAACCTGTAACTGAACCCTTTGAGCTTGTGGAAATCAATTCGGATGACTTTGATTCTCAGAAAACTGTTCAATTCTCGCCAAACACTGAAAAATACTTCACCAAACAGAGTGACTTTGCCAATTCAGGTGCTTCAAAGTTTGGTAAAATTAAATAAAAATATATATATCAAATTTTTGCTCATATTAATTTGTTTTATATTGTGTTTTAGATAAAACTGGACAATACAACTGGGATTTTGAGGAAAATACTAGCCACTGGTATTTGCTTTTGGATTTAGATTACAAAATAGTGATAATTTTAATTTAACATTAAATTTTTGTTTAAGGACTTCATATGCAAAGCCGCCGTTGGGAAGTCGCGCAAAAGGATTCTCCAATTTTCAAGGCGGTTACGTAGACAAAAGACAGGCCTCTGAATTCACCAATAGACAACCCACTTTAGGTCAGCTTAATAAAAATAAAGTTGCGATTTTTTTAATATAAAGGAACATTCGCGATCGTGTGCAATTAATCGTTTAAATTTTAGGAGGCGGAATTTCCAGCCAGCAAAAGGCGACGCTCCAACAGCGAGGTGCCGCTCCCACCGAGAGATCAAGTTTTCTGCCGACAACAAGCCAAGCCTCAGGATATAACCAGAAACCAGTGACGTCACGATGGGTCACCTCGCAGTTTAGCGTGGACGCAGCAGCTTCCAGTTCGGGCGCATCACAGGCCGCCCAGAAATCAAAATTGAGCAACGTAGATTACAATTATGATGATGGCGGCTTCCTCGACTGGGACGATTGGGACGACTATGATTTTGATGAATTAGAGGCAAATTTGAAAACCGACCAAAGCTCAATCCAAATAGCAGCTCCACCTGAGAAGAAACAGAAGCCGAAGATGACTTTCAAGCCAAAAGTGCCCACTTTGAAGAACACTAAATAGCAGTGTTATCTCTCTGTGTGGGATACATTCGAATTATTATTATTTTTATAGAATAAGGAAAAACTCAGTATCTAAAGTATCTTTAATGTTGAGGATAAATGATGCAGGACAAAAGTTACTACTTTATCTCAGTTAGAAAATAACTTGTTTTGCAGATTATTCTAATGAGTATTTTTAGTTGGATGTGAGCTGCAGTAAAAACAAACTGCGCAATACATACTTGAGAAATTTCTTGACATACATTGATATCCATGCAAAAGAGTCGACTGGGCTTTGGATATGCACATCTCCAGCTGCATAGTTATCACAGTCATAAAAATATCAATTATAAATGAGATTTTGAATTCATTGTTCGGCGCAAAAACGCTATGTTTTCAGGAAATGCTATGGTTACTGGTGCTATAAATTAATCTAATCATTAATAAATTACCAATAAAAAAATATTGTTCTAGAACTCTGTGTGTTATTGAAAAATATGTGTGGACCATTGCATTGGCAATGACACCTTATTTTATTTATTTTAATGTCTTGTCTGGCTCTTGCTCCTTTCATCTACGCGGGCAGGTCACCTCTGACGATAAAGTATAAAGCTGAATAAATATACTTGGTACAGTACAACAAACTGGTTTCCCCAGGTTTTCCAATAAGTTAAGAGAAGAGACACTTAAAAAGCATCGAGCGCGTCTTGCTTTGAAACTGATGTTGATTTTTTTTTACTCTTTCGCTTGTAATTATATTTACTTATTCCTTGCCTTGACGCTCTCAGTGCGCCGTGCCAGTTGTCACGTTTGCATTTACAATTCTCACGTATATGCCCTTCTGCAGTTTCGAACCAGAAATAATGCTGTTGAAAAATCCAGAAATTAAAAGATTTTTATATATACAACCACATATATGTGGTTATATAATCACTAATATTTTTTACTTTTTCTAGATGTCCAACATTATTCCCTGACACTTGCGTTTTCTACTCCTAAGTAGGACTAATAACATTTGGAATATTAGTCGCTCACATTAAGCTGATTGAGCTAATTTAATTGCAGTGTTTATTTTTAGCACAAATTAAATTAAGGTCATTTTACCAAAATGCGAGTGCGTGTCTTGTGCGCTTGGTTAGAATTCAGCCCGTCCAAACAAAAACCTCGCAGGCCTTGAATCAGCTTTATTTACATTTTTATTTAATGAGATTTAAATATTCATTTTCTTTTGAGGGAATTCTGCTGGATTAGAATGTCTTTTGTTTTTTTATTGAATGAAATAAAATATAATAATTTGCCATACGCTCTTAATAATTTTTTTTAAAGATAATCCATCTTTTCATTTTGAGTATAGTTTAGAGGACTAGAGGTGCATCAGGTGCAAATCACGTGATATTTTTTCTGTAATCCATAGAGCCTGTTAATAGTGGAGTTCCTGATGTAAATCGGGAGAAAACGATCTTTAGCTCTTTTTATAGACCGCGCTCTATAGAGGCACACAGAGCATTTTGCGTGTTCGTAAATGTGGATTGGCAATTAAGGATCATGCTTGGAATCACGTGGACACCGAATGATCAACGAATTATCTTGACCTGATTTTGACTTTCACAGCATCAACTAAAAATATAAAAGTTCCTTAAAAATCACTGTCACGTGTCAACAGCGCACCGTTCATTAAAACAGGGGAAATAAAATCTATCAAAACAAAAGTTTTGCTATACTTATAAGCAATGTTATTATTTCAGAATTAAAAAAAAATAAGCTTTGTTTTGGTGCTGAAGATCATTTTCACAAGGATCTAAGGGAGTGACATAACTAAAAATAAGTACAGGCAATAATATTGTCATTTCAAAGTGGAAAGAAGAGAAGATGCTAAAAATAATTATGGCTATTGAGAGCAATTGGGAAAATCCCTCTCGTGCTTTTTGTAAATGAAAACCAGTCCCAAAGTGATAATTTTTTACAGTTTTCCTCCTTCAAGCCAAACATATAAAACAGGAGAAGGTCATGCAACTTATAAAAAGAAGCCGAGTGATCATCGTCTGTACACGTGAGCGCGAGAGAAGAGGTAGTCTGGCGTATATTGTAACTTAAAAAGTTACCCAGTAGGCCTTCCCCTCTCAGGTAAGATAAAAGTAGGGATTTGAAAGTCGCTGAGAACAGACACCAAGAAGCCACCGTCCGCGTCGTTTCATCCGCTTGCTTGAGCGCTTATAATTCTGTTCCGAGAGTTAATTGTTTCCACGTTTCTGAATACCTTCATGTGCCCATGAACAGCAGAGCCTTAGTCTACCTTGAAACCAAAAAATTCCTTCCGACTGTCAGGTAAGGAGAAATTGAATAATTTTTGAAGAAGAAAAAAATAACATATATAAAGACAAAAAAAAGATAATTATTAATTGTGTGTGTGTGTGTGTTTTTTTTTATATAATAATTTTTGCTTGAGAAATGCATCTATTCTGATAAAAAAAAATGTATTTCTGGCATTAATTGGGTGAGGCAATCATTCTATGCAAGCGTCTTATCCTACTGGCTTGCAATAAATAATTAACCTGTATGACGAGTTTTATAGTTAAAATAAAGCGTCGACCTCTTTCCTGTCGACGCCTGCTTCAGTTTATAGCGTTACATACAAAACATTATAATATTTTCTTCCAAGATGAGAATATATCTTCATACGTGTCACCAGATCTACAATCGTTTTTATTTTTTGTGGTTACAGATTGTCCAAACACCTGAACACCCGCAAGGGCAGTCGTCGTGGTAACGCAGGAAACCGCCTAGAGCTCCAAGTGCTTACCCAGCTAACGCACGTGCCGTAGTGTGAGTGTTGAGATATAATATATTTCCCAAAAAATTCCAAGATAATTTAGAGTGCACCTCTCTAAAAAAAAGAGGCAGCGCCGCCCAATGTAAAATGCCTTTTCGAGCGACACTGACGGTACTTCCTATTTTCTAACTGCATCTCTCGTCCGTAGGCGCCGTAGTGGAATTTTATGTATCCACTGATATAAACACGCTTTACTTTAGAAAGTGGCTCTTTTATGCATTTTAGCCGATTAGCATACGCATATAATATTTCCAAATCCAGTTTCGTCCAGTTTTTGGGTGAAAAATGCTACAACTCGTTTCTCTCTTTCTGCTCCACAGTTGCGCCGAGAAAGATTCCCATCTCTAATTTGACCTTCACCGTACAGATTTTATAAAATAAGTTGCACAACTCCGCTTTAACACAGCACCCCTTCAATCAAGAAACGATTTTTACTCGGAATAGAAAGTAAAAATGGTCCAGGGTGAAGCTATCAACAGCATGGCCAGAGGATCGTCTCCGTCCTCCTCCTCAAGGTCAGCGTCTTTTTTTAACGACTTAATTCGAAATAATTTTTTTAATTTTTTAAATTTTATACAGGAAAGCGGGCTATGACGCCTTGCAGAAGAGCGAAAACGAGCGCCGCGAGAAGGAGCGCCAGGAGCAGCAGCGTCGCGACCAGGAGCGCCGGGAACGCGAACGCCGCGAGCAGGAGCGCCGCCAGGGTAGCAACTGGGGTCCCTACAAGAGCAAGGAGCAGTTCAACAGCATGCACTTCTGCTAAGCGACTGATCTAGAGAGGAAATTTCTTATATTAAGCCTCGTAACGAAATGCAGACTTTAGAGCCACGGCCCCCCTATTGGCTTTAGTTTAAAAAAAGACTGCCTTTCTTCTTATTATGTTTTTTTTATATATTACGTTTATTGGAACTGAGAAAAGTTTATAATTACTAACATTGCTTATAATGTGCCTTTAGAATGCAATAAAATAAAATTGCTTCCCACTGCCGTGTTTACTTTTGACATGCAAAAAAAAACGAGTTTTCCTTGTATGGAGATGACGAAACTTCCCTATCGTCTTGCATTTTGTTACGAGGCTTAATTTTGTCGCGAATTTCGGAGACGACCTTGGCAACGATCCACTGCTACCGCTGAAAATATAATTATACACAAACACACTAAAAGACCATCGGCCAATTCAACTTAATTGAACTCTCGCAAAAGCGAACTGATATATAGTTTATGCTAATTATAGCCTCTCTATATATTTCTTTTCGACACGAAAGGTTCAAACAAAAAAAAATTCGCAATTATTTCATACATATTTTATTTTTATAATCTGTACGGTGAAGGTTAAATTCTCTTAGTGGGTAGAAAACATTCATTCGCTTACACTTCTTGTAATCGCGACTAACATATTTTTTTTTCACAGTTAAGTACAAATTAATTTGAGGTGACTTGAACTCTTATAAACTGATTTTTAAATGTCTACATTTTTTGTTCATCAATAAAATCTAAAAGCAACCCACTCAAGCTTGTATGAAAACACACCCTGAGAGTCGCACCCTGGCAAGTGCAGGTCAATTTACAAACGGTTCGATGATTCCTCTGGCTTTCATTATTGTGAGACACCGGAAGCAGCGTTCGAATACGGCGGCCAGCAGCGCGGCTATCAGACCCATGCCCAGCAAAATGAACGAGCCCTGCATGTCGTCCAGGTTGACCGAGTGACTATTCACCTCTGTGGCCAGAGACTGCGGCGACACCCAACACCGATCTCGCCGTGGCATCGCGGATCGAAGCCACGAATCAATCAAACCGGCTTGCTGCATTCTTCTAATTCTGAAAATACAGAATAAATAAAGTGGCATTTCATCAGTTCGAACTGTTGTTGCTGTTCCTACTCTTTGTTTACTAGAGGTGTGTAAGGGCTAACGATGGGCATCGCCAAGCCAATTTGCTCTGGAAGGAAGTCATCGACGCCTATTGATAAAATTTGAGCACATAATTTATTACCAATTTTTTCTTCTTTAATTTCAAATTTCAATTACATAAAAAAAGAGGGGCCTGTAAGAATTATAATTAAATAATATACCTAACCATGAGTAACTTTCAACATTGCTATAATTATTTATATGTACATTTCGATATTTTTCTTTGACAACAATCAATACTCAATACTTACATACATTAGAGCTTTTATTGTATATTAAAAGTAACAAAATATTTTATATATAAAAAAATAAAATAAAAAATCATATAATAATAAAATTATATTTTTATTTTTGATGCGCATTACGAAAAAAGTATCAACTAGATAAAAATTTAGAAGTAATATTTTTTGTTAAATTTTTTTGATTAAAAAATATATTTTTATTGTAATCAAACGCATCTTTTTTTATTTACATTAAGATGTAACTATTCTATTCTAATAAATGTGAATAATGATTTTCCAGTTCTGAAACGCTATTTTTCTTGATTTGATCTTTTTTGAAATATAAATAATAAAGTCCTATTGATCATCCTATAATTACCTAAAGCGAAGGCGCAAACTCCAGTCTTTTTCAGCTGCAGAGTCTGCAGCATTAAAAGCCGCGATCGCCTCTCCAATAAAACGTGATTATCGGATGCCACTCTTTCAAGCAAATAGTCGTCGACCGTGGCGTGTCGCTCGGCTTTGTTCAACAGTATGACGTATTCAGGAACTGACGAGTCCTGCAAATGGTTTTTCATAACTTTCGCTTTATATTGTGACGTGGGTATATTTTCTGCACCTCTAGCAACTTTTCGAGTGCCGACCCTCTCAAGAGTCCCCACGTTAGCGTGCCCTTTGATTTATGCAACCCGTTCAGCGTCGTGACGGCAGGATTCATCCGCGGGAAAGTGAGAAAGGCGACCAGGTTGCCGCAGTATGATGTGACAATCACTACGACGAAAAGCCACCAAATTCCAAACACTAGTCGCCCACTATCCGAGTTTGGTAATTGAACAGCTCCTATACAAGCAAAATTAAATCAATAAAAAAAAAAATTAATATGAAAATTTAGTAGAGAATAAGACTTAAATTTATAAAAAAAAATTATTTATTGTTATTTCCGAGTATTCCAAAATGTTTAATCTCCATTTTTGTGAGTTAATTTTATTTCAATTATCATTTAATAACATTGAGCTTTTAAATAAATTCTGCCAATCAATTCCAGCTTGGGATTTTCTTCTTTAAGAAAATAATTTTAAAATATATTGACTTTGTTTGATACCTTGCTGCATTAGTGCTCCATACATGTACCAGATGCAGTTCATCACTCTGTTTAGACCTCCCGTTTTAGCAACTTCGTCTTTCGGTTTCATATCACGGCCCAGCTCCGTGACAGGGCTGGCGCGGTGAATGAAGTAAAGCGCCGGGCCGACCAGCAGCGTGGACCCGAAAATCGCCAGCCACGTCTGAAGAGAAAGCCCGTTTTATTGAACAAACTAAAAAACGAACTATGCTCTACCGTTGTGGTGAAGGGTGAGAGGAAAAGAAGCGTTCGGCTCATTTGGCGCGGCCTGGAGACGAGGAACGTGTGCGGCTGCGAAGCCACGGCCAGGGTGAAACTCACCCTCAACTCGCGGCCTGCAGACATCGACGTTGCAGCAGCAGATAAAAATACCTAAAAAGGAGTGAATAAATAATAAATAAAATGAAAATTTTTTTATAAAAAATATTCAATTAGAAGAAATTTGCTAACGTGATTTTGTTGCACCAAATCGAGCATATTGTCCCAAAGTAGAGACCGTTCATCAGGAATTGCCTAAATTAAAATTAGTTAAGCAAAATAATTCAAATTTTTATTTTTCACATCATCTATTGTGGGATCCTTGCCTTCCGCCAGGAATCCTTTGACTGTATTTGCAGGAAAGACAACTTTGTACCTTTAATAATTTACTTAAAAATAAAGTACCAAAAAAATTGTTTATTATTACGTAAAGTTGAGTCTAGAGCTTAGCTCGTTCACAATATCAAATATAAATCCTTTTGCCTTGACCAACTGCCCCTGCTCATTGAATTCCATTTCGTGCCACGGAGGAGCCTTTTTCTCAATTATTTGAAAATTCCAATATTATAATAAATTTAATTTCTTACGTGACAAGAGACGACAACAAGTTGTTTCCCTCTAAACCCGTGCTTGATGTGCACAAAAAGTGGCTCACTAATATCAATTCCAGCTCCCGGTCGCCAAATACCTACGTCCAACATTGATGCCTTTTCGTCTCCAGAAGGTCCTGTTGGACCCTAAAATATTAAAATTTTTAAACCAATAAAGTATAACATTAGATATTTTACTCTTAGCCCCCAGGTTAATGCACTTCGAAATTTCCAGGCCAAGCAACCATCGCACGTTTCTTCCAACCTTTGAGCAATGCCTGCCTGTTTTGTATTATTAAATAAAAAAAGTGTCTTTGTATTTACTGTTTTTTAAACTTTACTGTAATATGTTTAAGTAAAAGTTTCCTTCTCTCCGATACAGAGAGTTTTTCCTCATCCCACTCGTCGACGGACACCTTCTTCTGCATCATGACCTGTTCCGAGGCCGCCCCCGAAACCAAGGCAGCGATCAACGCTCTCAATAATTCACGCGAGTAACAGAGAATTCCACCCTCCTACCAGAAAAATAGCACAGGTGTTCAACAAAATTAGTTATTTCGAATTTCATCTATTATCCAGAGCGGCTTATAGAAAATTTATCAAATCTTTTCCGAGAACTCTCTCTCTCTCTCTATTTCAGTGGCTTTCCACCAAATTAACTCACGGAACAACTGTTGGCGTCGGTCGTGTGTCGGGTTGCGTTGATAAGAAAGGCCACGTTGTCGCCCTCGGTGAGCAAAGGTATGAGTCTGGTGTCGTTGGTCATTGTGTAATACTGAGTTTCCGGCAACACGTACAGCCACTGTGTGCTCGGCGTCACAAGCTTCAGAGATTTCGCCTGCAATGCGACAAATGACACAAATTAAATTTCTGCTCTGTTTGCACACAGCGAATTGTTTTGTAGTCATTCGAATTGGTATGCAACCGGCAGAACGTCCCTGCAGTGCCAATTGCATACTCAGATTTATTACAGGCGTTCTGTATTCGCTGATTTCTTTTATATGAAAAAAAAAAAAAAAAACAGTTCGTCAATAGCAGTATCAAAATAAGTTCAAAAACTTGCACTAAAAAATTAGAACAAAGAATTTTAAAAATATCAGTAAATGTTATCAATAATTAATAAATTATGTATCAGATTTTTTTATTTAAAAAAAAAATAGTAACTCACGATTTTCATCACGATGTAAATGTTTTCTCTGCTTGTGACGACAAGGAAATGCTCAATCCGATTCAAGTTTGGAAATTCCGAAATCGTCTGTCGAACCATATCGTAGCTAATTAAATACACCAAATTGAGCATAAACAAAGAAAATTTTGAAATTATTTTCAAACCTTGAGAAGTATCCTAAATCGAGAAGTTGTATCTGAGGGGAGACAAAACGTACTTTCGGATGAGCTGCAGTCATTGATTTAAAAACTTTTTTCATTTGCTCAGCATCTTTAATAATTAAATTATTATAACATAATTAATACATAAAATAAAGTAGTACCAAGCCACGCGTCAAAAATAATCAACATTGACGGCCACGAAATCTCCTCAATTGCACGCAAGTCGGACAAAATCTGAGACAACTCCTGACCTCTTTTTATAATTGGCACGGTTATTCCTTCATTCGGTGGCAGTCTAGGGCAATCTTCGTCTGCATCAGAATCTTTGATTGTGAAAAATAAATTAAAAAATTTGTCCAAATTAAGATCAACCTGTCACTGCCAAATAAAGTAAACTGGACGAGTCTTCTGAGTTGTTGTAGAGGCGCCACAAATTTTGACATGACGCGATGATGAGGACCGCACTTAAATCTTTATTATGAAAAGTAAAAATAAATTCAGGAATTATATAAAATTATTCAACCTTTTCTTAAAATAATGTCCGATCGTGTGTGGAATTCTACTTTGAGTGGAATCTGTCCAAGATTTTCTTTCACAAGTTGTGCCCAAATGCTTTTCAACTCTTTCAACAGGTCAAAATCTCGGCCACCCTCAAACTCTGACAGTTTGGTGCTGGCAAATTCTTTGTCCAGGACGATACCTGCCGATTACGTTGAAGATGAGTTGGAAATTAAATATTCTTCAAAAGCCATAAATCAGAAATGATCTAATTTTTTTTGTTTTAATGGCTTGAAAAAAGAATAAACAATGCATTTGTTTTTCTTAAATATTGGTTTATAATTACTGAGCCGGATGTTAGTCATTATATCTGGAAAATAGTCGAGAGGGATTAATAAAAGCGACAATATACTCATCGGCGTTTTCAACCAATTTATACACAAAGAGAGAAATTATGCATACCAAATCTGTAGTCCATAGCATTGAGAACAGTATCGTCCGCTGCTGCAAATTTGAAGCACATAATCCCAATGAGCAAATAGAGAAGGACCATGTTTGCCCTCAATGCACTGCACTAGAAATGAGGTTACATGTGCAGTAATCCTTTTATATACGCCTGCTACGGGTTGATCGGTTAATTTTTAATTGCACAGCTGCAACGCTGCGAGTGGGCAGCACGCGAGAAATGAAATTAGAAGTGGAATCAAGATATTGATAGTCCTCCATCCCCTAAACATCGTGTCGAAAGTAAAAGAAACTTCTTTTCCTCTAAACCAAATAAAAGTATAGAGGAAGAATCAGTGGAAAATTAGATTTCAAGCAAAAAAAGTATCACCATCTTTTTTAACTATAAAAAAATTATATAATTATATTTAATTACACTAGGGAAATTTTAAAAATTTTTAACGTTATATATTGATTGTAGAAGAAAACAATGTATTTTAAGATCATATAAGTCCATTTCTAAATTAATAAATTATCGTTATTAGTTTCAAATTTTTGTAATAAATTATTAAAATATTAGTTATGTAATATAACGTCAGCATAAAAAGTTTCATACAAAAGTTTCCAAAGCAAAATCAAAGATCTATCAATTGATTAAGGATATATTTTGTTGTGGAAGAAAACACATTTGTTTCTGGAGTTCAAGGCAAAAATTTATTTTTTTGTTCTTTTGCGTTTACAAGGCAGTGGTGTCTTTAAACTTTTAAATTTTGTGTCTGTCGTTTCATCTTTTGTAATTTTCTTTTCAAATTTCAGAGGAAGCATCAAGACTTTTGAAATCTTCTAATAATCGATATGAATAGTGTTGAAAGACGCATTTTACAGTTTTGCATTTTTCCTTGTTCGTATCTAAACAGCTCAAACGACAAAAATCAGAAACTTCCAAATCAATCAAACCAATGAGTATTACATAAATCGCATTATACAAAGTGTGGCCTCTACTGAGGGTTGATTCCATAGGTTCACAAACATCGCTCGTCGATGCTGGAATGTGGTTCGAAATTAATTGTCTACGAATCTAATGATATTACAATCAATATATAATAATGAAATAGATTAAATAATAAATCCGAAGCAACAACGACTCGAAAGAGCATTACTTTTTGAGTTTGGTGATTACACATCAGAGTGCAGGGGAAATTATCTGCTTAAAGCTTCTCTTTTTTCCTTTCTCGAAATAGAGTTTAAACATTCATAAATTGAATAGTGGGTAAATACAGTACAAGTCCCACGTGATATCTTAAAAGGTGTGTGGTCAAGAGTTTGAATCGCGATCATTTTTCTCTTTTTTTTCCAGCTACATAAGTTTTCTTTAGAATAAGACCTTACCACGTAAAAAATTTGAAACGATCTCAAAGCTGAAAAGATTGCACGCTTCATCTGCTAATGAGACAGATCGGCGCAAAAGTTTCCAAACTCATCTTTGGATTAAGTAGAGCGCGCCGGCCCGCTGATGAGACGGACCCGCGGAGCGCAGAAGAAAATCAATGAATCTGTGCGTATCAAGTGAGGAAGTTGCTTGAAAGTATATCCATACAAAAACTAAAAAACGAAATGGTTACGAACGAAATCACGCTAATTGTATCGTAATATCTAGGAAACTATCAACGATCTACTCTTTTATGCGTAAGTCGAAGCAGTTTCGCTCGCTAACATCTACAGATTTAAAAATATTAAGAGAGTTGAATGATTGTGTTAATTTCAAAATTAGACTCGCTTTGGAAAAATAAATTGCTCGTCCTGTGCTACATCGTCGTCATCACCGCTCGAGTTATGTAAAAAAAGATTTCTGCCAAATCTGCCTACTTATTTGCATGAAAAAAGTATTGAAATTTTAACTGCTCGCGTTCTTTTAATTCGGTTTGTTTTCATAGTTTAGTTTTCATTCAACAATCACTGCTTTGTCTTCAGATTTGAAAAACACCTAGTTTGTTTTAGAAGGCCAACGCATTTCCTTACAAATGAAATCCGCCAGCGGAAAGTCCCTTTGCTAAAGTTCTCTCAATAGAATATAAAACGTTTTGTTATTTTTTGCCTCATTCTCGATTGTGCGACCGATCAGCCGAGTGGTTCCGCGGACAGGTTGCGATTTTCCCTTTTGCAAAAATGCAGCAGGTCTAAAAAGAAAGGCCTTTTCCTTCTTCGTACTCTAGGGATGAGAAATTTCCAGCTCGGCCGCGCCCGTCCGCACGATCTCCGACTCGGTGAGGTCGCACATTTAATCATTTTTAATTCCAAAAATCCTTACACCTTACAAATTTAATAGTTTTACATTCATAGTTAATTATGAGTGTATTTGCTCTTCACCTAAAAATTTCTATCGTACATTTTACAATGTATTTAAGACTTCTCATACGATCCAGATAGATAGCGCAAAAGAGATAAACCTCAGGCTTCTGTGTTTAATTGGTTTTTTCCGAATACCTTAAAATTACTTAACAGCAAATACGTTAGAACGGATTTCTCGCCATAATTCCTTTCCATTGTCGGAGGTAAACGTAAATTAAGTGCAACACTTATCGAATTAATAAATTACGCATTTTTCCAATTCTCGCACGCGTCGTCGGCGTGCGAGATCGTAGTCAAGCCCTTAAATGTATACTTTTAATATTCCTTACGTGGAGAGATGTTTATTTTTTTCTTTTAATTGCTCGCGCGGAGACAGAGTGTCGCGTCATTTTGTCATTTTTAAAAGCTATTTTTCGCGCCTAGCTACGTGTGCAAAGATATAGTAATGCATGCTGCAGCTAGATTGATTTGCTGGTTACAAGGGCTAAAATTTTTGAATGGTGGTTTGAGTATTGCGTCGAGAAAATACTCCTTCTTATTATGCACAACCAAAAAGTGAACATTTCATAATATGTAACAATAAATTATGTGTGTCGGAGTGGCGGGCGGTCAGCGGCGGCCCTGCATCGATTGCCTTGTTTGATTTTGCTACTCTTGAGCACAAAAGTACTTTTATCCCCGTGGACTATCTATACATCTCACATTTGATACATACGCCGCCCTTCTAAGCTCAAAAATCACAATAACAATTAAGGACTTTGCGGTGAGTGTGTGTTTTGTGGGAGGTTGCGCAGATTAATTACAGAGGTGGGAATGTCAGCAAATTGAGCAAATCATTGGAAATGCAGGCGCCGCCAGTGACACGGCCAGCTCGACCAGAAGAACAAAATAGTCGTTTTGAACTTAAAGAACGCAGGACGTCTGGCGCGATTGTCAATATCATTTTGGAGATTTTTAATACTAGTTTGTGAGAAAAAGTAGAGTTCCTTCTCACAGTTGATTCACATTAAAAATGCACTATTTAATTAATTAATTGGGTCTTCTCGAACATAGTTTTTGTACTCAAATGTATTTTGAAAAGAAACTGTTAAATTTTGCTACAAACATTGAAATTAGATCCCAACACTTGGATTTTAAGAAATGATCTGATAAAGAAATGGTAAAATTACATAATCACAATATTTAATGTTAACAAAGTCTTCTCTTTTATTAAGCACTGGTTTTAAGTTTAAAATTTTAATATCACTGTTGGTCTAAAGAGAATTTTTGGGCGTTTCAATTAGTTTCCCTACTAAATTGTGCAAAAATTAATATAATTAACAAATCAGTTTTTTAAACAAAACTGATCAACGTTACCAAATTTCTGAATTTGTGTATTAATTTGATCTAGGTAGTTGGATATAAGGTGAAAGCTAAAGTTTTCTCACTTGTAATTGAAGCCTAATGTCATTGATTACAACAACTGAAAATTTAATAAGTACTGCCAATTTCTTTAAAAAAGACCCAACTTAACATTTAACACCTAGTGCATTTTTATAATTTCACATCTCTGTGTAAATATACACAATACTTCCTTTCCATTACTCCAAATTTCTCAAAATCAAGAAACCGAGAAGGAATTGAATTGTTTAGTTTTTTAGTACTCCAAACACATATCCACGCACCGCCCAGAGCATGGCCTGAATCAACTTAAAAAAAAACCCAAAAAAAATCTCTGTGAATAAACAGCGGCGAGCTGAGAAAGAAAGCGTTAGGGAGGGAATTAGGCCAACTCCCCGTTCTTAATCTCGAGGTTGCATTCGATTTTGCCGTTTTCCTGGTGGTTGATCTCGATGGTGGTGGCGCCGAGGGCGGGCACGTCGTGGCACCACTTGGCGCTGCTGGATTGTGTCTCGTCGGTTTGAATCTCACTAAATGGTTTGAGCACAGCCCTGACCGTCTGGTAAAGCTTCTCGAAACCTAGTTTCAGATAAAGGCTCTGCGAGGCCGCGTTCTCCGGCCGAATGACCACGAACGGCACGTAGCCGCGCTTCCGCACATCCGCGGTCAGCCGCTTGGCTAGAAAGATCCCGTAGCCCTTGCGACGGAACTCGGGCAAAGTCTGCATTGAGAACATGGCGCCGTAGTAGCTCTGCACCATCCACGCGGCCAGCGTTTTCTTTTCGCCGTCGTCCTCATCCTCCTTGGCGAAGATTCCGTACGCGGGCAGCGTCGCGATGCACTTCTCGAACGCTTCCAGGCACTCCATGTCGCGGGCGGGGTACAGGTCGTGGATGGTCTTGGCGTCCACGCGCCGCAGCTGCCGGAGTTCCACCTCTGGAGGCAGCCTGCAAATCAAAATTCATTTGTAATTTTGCTTATTCTCATCTTTTTTCCTATTTTCTATAATATTTTCCTTTACAAATGTACAAAATTGAAGATTTAAGAGGGAAATATGGTGTTTATAGAGTACATAATATTTTGAATCAACCTTTTTGATATGAACTGAAAAATATTTGTTTAAATTATTTATTTTAAAATTTGAGCTTGACATCACAATTATAGGTTAGACTGATTCTGACAGATTTTTTATTACAATTTTTAAATGCTGTACATACTTATTTTTTTTTTAAATCTGCTTGAAAAAATATTTTTGTATTTTATTATTAAAATATTTTATTCACCATTATTATATTTTTTATTATTTCAAAAGTAATTCTTTCATCTTTATTTTAATTTAGATTGATTTATATATATTTTAAGTTAGTATTTTCATTACTTCAAAAATATTCATAATAATTAGCTGTATTATTATTCATTAAGTTTTCGCGAGAATGGAACCATCTAATTTTGCTGCAGTTTACCGTGTGCACTTTCATAATTATTAAGTGTCTTTAATCTAAATAACTTTTTATGGGATTATGATTATAAGAAAAAAAAAAACATAAACAACAACAATAGAGGACTGATAACTTTACAACCACTTTTCTCATAATTTTTCAGAAATGTATGCAAAGGTGTGCAATGACAATAATTTGCTTAATATAGTTAAAAAAATATTTAAATTATATTTCACTCACAATCAGTTCTGTTTCGGTATAATTGGCTAATTTCCTTACTTAAAACAATTAATTTGTCATTTGAAATTCTTAAATATTGGGAAAATTTATGTTGTTCACTTCTTTGAAGAAAGGATTTATTTTGGTTTTTCTACATTACTTCTATTAAATAAAATGATTTTTAATATAAGTTGGGTTCTAGTAGATTAATTCCAATTGTAAGAAGAAAACGTAGTAATTCAAACTTTTTTAAATGTTCCTTGAAAAGTACTGAATGGTTTGAATTTTTCATCTTAATATTCACGAAATCCAAATAAAATTAATATTTATAAATAATTTATTTTATATTATTATGAAAGAAATTTTAGCAAGGAAGACAGATAAACATATATATGTAAAATGCGTAATTCTAATTATCAGTTACTCCATTCGTTTTTTTTTTCTCTGCAAAGACCTTCACGCCGTCTTTTTTTCCTGTTTTACTCATATTTTTATAAATCTGCCTATTGAATAGTTTACTTTATTTTCCCTTTTACATCACGAAAGCCACGCGTTCAATTCGTTTGCATTATTCAATTTCGCCTCGAAAAACACATAACGGCAACGAACGCAACTTCCTATATAACGTACCGTCGATCTTATAAAAGAACAATCTCGTCGCGCAGCGCCGCATAAATTCAATAATGCCCGGCTGCTCTCTTTGAGCGCGGCTAATGCAAATACACGCAAGATAATGGAAAAGCCTCTCGTCCACGACTGCATTCGATCCTCTCTATCCACCATTAATCAAACAATTTTTTGCAACAAAAGCCAGCCATTAAACATCGCATCACGGCGGTCTTTAATCATCCTTCCGGAGGAGGCCAATCCGAGGCGTACGCGTACGGAGGCTCTATTGATATTTGACGTGTGCGCCTCAGACCGGCCGGCAAAAACCAATCCATTTGTGTGTGTCGAGCATCTCGGGTGGAAAAGAGGAAAAGAAAGGTTCCGACAAACGGCCACGTCCGCATTCACTGCTGCAGAAGTGCAGAATTACGTCAAACTGCAGCCTGCAGCTGCAGTGAGCGTTTTAATTGCAGTGCATGCAGAAAAAATTCGCATTGCGGAGAGATGATCAAAATGGAAATGGGGATTGGCAGCTTTGCGAGTGTTTCTGCAGCTTCATTTTTTTTCAACTTTACTTGCAATATTTTTTTATTAACTAAAAAAATAATTATTCGGTTCTTTCTTCTTGTAATTTATTTTTGTCATTTTTAATTTGTTAAAAATGAACGATTTTAAGCTAGTTTAATTCTACTATCATTTTATGCTTCCAGTTATTCAGAACCGCACAGTGAGAATTTTTATAAAGGTTAATTATTCTGAATAATTGTTTAGTATATTTGGGACTCAAAAAAATTATTAAAAGTTTCAAAATGTTTATTTTCCTGAATATTTATTTTTAATTTATCTACAAATGCTAGTGACAAAAAGGATATTATGTAATCTATTTATTTTCGGTTCAGGAATTTGAATTTGAAATTTTTAATAAAAGTTAGAAACAATTATAAATTTCATAAATCCTCGTCAACGGTCGTTTATTCACGAGATCAATCAATATTAAAATGGGTCATTTCTTGAAAAACTTTAAACCACAACAAAAACTTACTCAAAAACGTTGTTCTCATCTGTAAAATTCACATTTTATTTTAAAACTAATTTATTCCAATGAACAAAGAATAAGATATTTTTCAATTGCATTAATGGTTTTGATATATCAAGCTTGATTTCCAACTCGATTTCAAAGTTGCCTAAAGTGAAGTTGTAAAAAATCTCCTAATCAAAACTGTCAAAGTTCTGAACTCGTGTTCGAATTAAACTTGGCTGGCTGACGATGCGATGAGTAATTTGCATTCCTTTCACATCACAAGTGACAATGTAAGCCGACTGACTGTTCGAGCTTTGGCGTCACAATTACATTCAAATTGGTCCAAAGTGTGGCAATGACATGCAGCGCCAGCGAACCGCGCGAGAGCCAAACGTGACGAGATAAGAGAGCCACTGAACTCTGCATTATTCAGGCGCGGCCCTCAAAAAATATCCACCCCAATTGAGCTGTTGAACAGCATCTCATTTGCACAGATTCCCACCGAACACACGTAGCTAGTTTTGCTCGTGGTGATTGATCGAGTTGGGTGTTTGCGGAAAATCACGCCACGCGCCTTCTCAGGACGGGTTGATTGATGAATGGACAAGCCCCTGAAGGGTGAACGCGCGGCTCAACGGGTATCGATTATCTGTTTGTTTAAGACCTGAGAAACAAAATGCGTCACTCTGTTGCGACAAGGGATTAGGTCAGAATTTAAAATGTAAATTTTCTAGAAGGGTTTAACGAGCGAGTGTTTTTCAACGCAAAGACAACACGCAAAAAGAGTTGGCAGTTTTTTCCGCTCAAGGACGCTCCTCTCTTGCGTCAACCTTGAGTGTGCCAGACGCTTTTTTGGCTGCTGAGCAAAGTCCGAAGAGTTAATTTAAGCCGAGTAAAATGCAACATATCGCGAATCATGTTTTGTTTTCTTTCGCAACACACGCGCCGAAACGTAAGAGAAGAATAGGGCTCGCCGTGGGTGGGTCAAGGTGGCGAAAAGGGTGTTATTTTCGCACCGCCTTTCTTTGTACCCGAAAAAGGTGACGACGAAGAAACACGCAAAAGCTTTCTTTGTGGAGGCGACTCCTCACAAGTGAAACGACGGCGCCGGTGCTTTTCTTTTCAAAGTGTTTCAATTTTTGATGCGGATATGCATAAAAGTTGAGAAGTCTCGAGACAAAATTTTCTTTGCTGATTCACAAATTCTACGATCTAGAAAATGATCCATAAAAAAGTGGTATAAACTAGAAAATAAAAATTTTGCAAAAAAAAATAAATGGAATTTTTTTATATGGCACGCAATTTTTTTAGACTGCAATAAAAAAAATTATTGTGGAGTACAAGGTCAAAAAGTTTCGTCCTAAAATTCAAGTCGCTAAAAGATTTTTTCCCCTTAAATTTATTCCCAACAAAAACAATTTTTCTTATAGCTTTTAGAACTTTTTGTAAATATCTATCAGGAAATTTAATTTTCTGAAAGTTTCCACTCTCTAAAAGCGATCTTTAGCGATCACTGACGTTTAGTAATTGATAAAACTGAATTTCAAAAATAATTTTAATGCATGAATGATGTTTTCCATAAATTAAAAAAAAATGTTAATGCTGGTTTATGAAACGCTTGATATGTCTCTATGCTTTTGGGACTGATTTTAGTTCCTACACGCGATAAATTAAAAATATTCGTTAAATTTGAAATTTTCAGATTTTTGTGAAATAAATGAGAGTAAAAAACTAGGGCATACTCAGTCTCCTGAAGGGGCGGAGGTTCCTGGACGCTGATGTAGACATCACCTTCGACAGTCTCAATTTCCCCAATTTGTTCGTAGAACTCGCGCATCCTCTCCAGGATAACCTGAGGGGTGAAGTTGAGGTACAGGGGCCGTGTCCAGTCAATGAGCACATCTTCGGTCTGCAGCAGCTGCAGCGCGTCCAGCCGGTCGTCCGGACAGAAGACGCTGAAGCTCTCGTACAGCAAACCATTTGGCTGAAAGGAAAAAAGTGAATCAGTTTCATTCAATCCGAGGGTCTAGACGCGTTTTTGCAGCCGGTCCGAAACAATCAATTAACTCCCCGATTCCACGTGCCGTGCGTGGGCGAAATAATATATTTCTCGCCCCGGGGAGCGGCTGCTCAGGAGGGATGAAAGTAAGTGGTGCTCAAATGGAAAAATATGGGTTCGGGGAAAACAGCCATCTGCAGGCGGCGGCGTCAAGCGGGCGCGCTGTATTACTATTATCAGGGTGTCGCGCGCGCGAGAAAGAGGAATTACGGCTCAATTTATGGCTGCAGTGCTGTGTGCACTTGAAAGTTGAACGCTCATTTTTCAGGACATGCGGCACAGTATTTTCAAGTTAGACTCAATTTCGTTCGCATCTGCAGTGATCTGACCTAAATAATTTATTATCTGCTACTAGAGAGGTAGAGAGGAGCTAAATAATTCATAACGCTTTCTAAAAGGACAAATCGCCATATTATTTTCAATGTACAGGCATGGAATTAATTTAGCATTAGACTCATGAGGTCATGAGTCATGAGACATTTTATTTCTATTTCAAAGCACAATAGTTTAAAAACCTGATAAAATATATATCATAATTTTGCATAATTTTTCACCATGATGAAATTTATTGCGTTAATCAGTGGGCCCCATAAATTACACCAAATTTTATATTTCTTTTTTATTTATTTAAAGCTTGCCATTGAAGTATGTTTGCAGTTGTTTATCAGTTGACGTACTTGTTAGGCTGTTTAGATTTATCACTCTTTTAATATCGGACATTGTATCATAATTATGTTCGTAAAAGATTATAAAGTCATTTTACTTGCAGAAATCTCCTTTAAAAAAATCCACTATTTGATACTTTATGAAATTTTGTACATATTAACGATTTAAAAGACAATACACAAAATTTAAGTATGTATAATAAAAAAGTTGTAACTTAGCAAAATGCTGTAATTATTAATTTCAAATACTTCAAAAAGTATTTATAACAAGAAACGTAATTAACAAAGTAAACTTTTCTCGTCGTCAAAAATAAACCTGGAAATTGCACAAATTCAGAGCGACTAATGACACACCTGTTCCGCCGACTAATTTGCTCTTCGCACCGCGCGCAAATCTAATTCAGCCCCGTCGGCGCGTAAATGGGTCAGCGCGCCTTGCTCGTTTTTGCTCCGGCGGTCTCCACCCTCTTGTAAACTTGAACGCGAGACTTTGCAAATGTGCCTCGGAAGCACACATACTACAACATAAATGACACAGTGGGCCAGAAGTCGCGACCGACACGAGGCGCGCGCGTGATTTTGCCGCAGAGCCGGCAGCAGCTGGGCACAAAACGCGGATATGTGTGGCAGCAGAGGCGTGCAGCGGCACAGCATCCTTTTCATTTCACTTGCAAGTTGGAAGTAGTGTCGGATGCTCTGGCTGCCAACGACGCAGGAAATTAATTTGCGACAGAGAGATGGTCTAATTGCGATGAGACGCGCCAGATCGATATGTCTAGAGATGTTACGAAATTCCGCTTTTTTAAAGTCACTTATAAAATGCCTGGTGATACATTAATAAACACAATTTGCAACTAAAATCAAACCATCAGTTTTCCAGAAAAGCAAATAATTACCAAAATTAATTTTAAAACAATTTCAATAAACTATTTGTAATAAATTATTACAAATAAAGAAAAATAATAATGTACATCATAAAAAAAAATAACACTCTACTGTAACAGTTTTTTGTACACATTTTTATATTTTATTTTATGAGTAATTTTTTATTTTTATTATTTATAACAATTATTTGATTAAATTTTTTTATTTTGAATAAACGCTGATTTAATTTTTTAAATGTATAGTTATTAATATAATATATTAGAGCTCGTACACCAAAATGAACAGCAAAGCTGCATTAACTTGTAATATGTTAACATTAATGTAGATGACAGTGGCAGATTTCTTTTATTAACATTTAAATTATTTCAAACCTTATAATTTAAAGAAAAAACATTTGACTATTTTTCCGTTTTCTCAAAGTAATTTGCTTAATTGTTTCATTCTGACAATATGAAAAGAAAAGTAAAACTGGTGCATACCTTAGTCATAATTATTTCACCTCAAATGCTTCCTTTCTTTAATTAAGTTTAAATATTTTCATCAATTAATTTTTTTTTTAAATATTGTAATGAAAAAAAAATATAATTTCCAAATTTGTATTTCAAAAGGTACATTCAAAATTGAAAGAAATTTTGATCGACGTCAAAAACTAAATAGTGAGGTTTAATTAAAATGGATATCAAAGAAAAAATAAATCGGGAGTTATTCAGTTTTCAGCCGGGACACATCAAATCTTTAAAGTATCAGCAGATCACAGGAGAACTTGTCCATATTTGTTTTCAATAAGTTTAAACCTGGTTAAAGTTTTCATAAATTAAGTAGCTAGAGTGATTGTCTATAATATTTAAATGATATTACATTAATCTTCGATCCTCCTTGGCCCAATTTTGAATTGAACGAGCCCTGTCGGCGATTTAAATCGAGCGTACACGACGAGTCTGGGCGGCGAGACTACTTGTGAGGTTGAAAACCCCTTCGCGCGCGACATCGGCCGAGAGAGAGAGAGGAGGACCGGACGCATTTGCATCTGCCGACCGCAATGACTTGTTTGTCTATTTCCGTGGGACGCACGCTCGCCGCCGGCTATAAATAAGCGTGAACTTCAAATCTGGCGGGTTACATTCCAGCCGGCCCATTGTACTGCTGGGTTGCGTCAAAGTTGGCCCAATTTCGTCCCAACGTAATGATGATCGGTGCGCGCGGCCACTTGACGAGAAGAAAAAAACGACCGATATAACGAGAGAGGAGAGCGGAAAGAAGTATCCCTTTGAGTGGAACGGGGAAGAGCGGGATTATCCTCGTATAATGAGATGCGAGGACGTTTTTCGCTTCTTGTATTTCTGCTAAGCGCTTTTGCGAGAGAGCCCTCGACAGTGCTCACTCTCTTTGAGCATACTGCAGGTGTTTCTTGGAGCTCATTTATTCTTTTAAAAGCCTCTCAAACTTCCATCCAATATACTGCAGGTAATGCTAAATACACGTAATTAGTGAAAATTGCCGACCAAGACCAACAATGAACTTTTTTTCTTTTTTGGCGAAAGATTTGGTTAAAGCGGTTTCCAAATTTTTCTATCGCCATTAAAGAGTTCTAATTTATTTTAAATTGGGATATGCATTCACTTCAAAATTTAAAAAAAAATATTGCAAAAGGATTTAATTTATAAGTTATTATTAAAATCCAAAGTACATTTTTATTTTCAATATTCGACATATTTTATTCTAAATATTTCCATTTCCATTCTTCTATCAATGTTAGTAGCGACATTTTTTACTAGCAGTTCTTTCTCCTGATTGATTATCTCCGAATCAATTCATTAAGGTGCCTAAACTTATAATTTTTTAATAAATTTGTATCACCGTTCGATTTTAAGCACTATAATATTAAAGAATTGAAATCATCAAAAATGGTTACATAGGAGAAAATTTAACAATGTTAGGATGTGAATTTTAGAATCATGGGATCTATAAAAATAATTGATTAAAAATTATTTGTCTGAACAATAAAGCTATAGTTATTATTCCTAGCTTTAGAATTAATTTTACCGTAATCAAAATTTTTGTTGACATTTAACAAAATTTAAATTAAAGGTAAAAATTTTATCAAGTTAAAAATATTAAAATATTGCAACATAATATAAAATGCAAACGTAAAAATTAGTCCTTATATTATTATAAAATAAAGAATTTGCTACTCAATAAAAAAAAATTAATATCGCGGATGTCAGCATTTGGTGACGTTTCGCTTTTAATCAACAAAAGCCTTTGTACTTTGCTCTTTTAGGAAATCCTGCAAGTTTGTGACTCTCTTTGCTAAACACAAGTCACGATCCGAGAAAAGTGCGCGCGAGAGCTCCTTTTCTCATTGCGACGTGCGTCGTCCTCTCAGTGCATCATCTCAGTCGACGTGAGAGTCTCATCAGTTAACGAGACAGCAAAACTGCTGAGACGACGAGACTCTTTCTTTCCTCAAAAGCAAAGAGTCTTTCTCCGCAAAAATGAGCAGCCCACATATCAGGCCGACGAGACGCATTAAGATTTTTTTTTGCGGGCTAAAAGCAACGTGACGGAAAAATGATATCCACACTCGATTGTCCTATATATTTTTTTAATTAAAAAAGCAACGGCATGGATCGTGTTTTGAGCTGTGTCTATGTTCCATGAACACGACGACACACTGCTCTCGTTGGTTTCATTTTTGCTGCGCTGTTTTTGTGACTATTGGTCGAGTGCATATCCCTCTCATTATTTTGAAAGGCGTCCTTTTTACCCATTTTTAAATACAGGGTACACTCTTTTTACAAGGCAAATTCACCAAAGCGCAAAATGTTCCGATTGTCAAGCATTGTGTTTTGTTTTTCAAAGGACAAAAAAATTTGGGGATAATAATTGAAAGGGAGACAACAAACAAAAAATTTTATAAATCAATAATAAAAATGAACTTTGATTTGATTGATCTTAATTTTATTTATTGTAAAAACCGTTATTTGAGAACAAAAATTAAATTTCTTGATCATTTTCTTGGCATCAAAAATAAAAAAATTTTCTTTAATTAATTTGACTCCTATGGATTTGCCTACAATACAACTTCATATTATCTTTTTTAAACTTCATTTTAAATGAATTATTGTAGAATTTCCTATTTTTTTTTAGCGCCAGGCAAAATCATCATTTTCATTTCGATTTAAAATTTTAATTTCAATTTTAGCATTTTATGTTCCTCTGTGGAGTCTTTCAATTTATAATTATTTTTATTGTTTTTTTTATTTGTCAAATTTTTAAAAAACAATATGTTTGAAAAAGGAATTGTTGGACAAAATGGTGCCACCACTAACAACATTTATACAACATATATATGTTTTAACAATTTTTTTTCACCCTCCGTAACCAACATCATCAAAATCATGTGTAGGTGTTTTTTTCCTTTTTTAAATATTCTTGAAACAAATTCCACAATAATACCATATAATTGGATTCAGTTACGTAAATTGAGAATCTCCTTATTGCATAACTTTTTAATTGGAATAAACTTTCTCCACAAATAAAAATAAAGATGTATTGAATAAATTATTATTGCAGCATTTTATTTTTCAAATCACAGGAAAGAATGGCAAACAAGGAAAATGCTCGATTCGATGAAAAACAAATTAGCTTTGAAATTGTTGTATCCATTTGAAGCGATAAAAATAAATATTCAATATCTCTTTTCAAGCCAGATTTCGCTGAAAAATAATGCAAACAAGGAAAGCTAGGCTCGATAAAAAAATTCCTCCCAACGCAAATCATCGCAAACTAGCTCCTCTTTTCAACCGCATCATTTTTAATTAATTTTACAGTAAAATTTAGAACTCATCAATCATAAATAAAAACAAAACCTTTCTTAATATATTGGAAAAATTTTATTCCTCAGAAGAAATAAGTTTCATCTGTTTGCAGATGTTCAATTAAATAATCTTTGCATTGAGGGGAGTTTTCTGAGATAAAATAGAAGAGAAAAAAATGATTGGAAAATATCGCATCGAGCACCTGGAAATCTTGCGAGAGCAATCACAGGTGCGCTGCAATAAAAACGTCTCGGCGGCGCCGCGCGCACCAAAGGCAGAGGGCGTCGCGCACAAATTCAAATGCGAGGCGCTGCTGCAAAAATAAACGAGGGGCGGAATTGCATCGATCGCGGCTGCATGAGGGGTGGAGGAGCGCCCCCGTGCACCGTCGGCCGATCGATAGCCGGGCGGATGTTGCGTATTTGCTGGTGCCGCTGCAGCGAGCAGTCACGTGGTAGTCTGGCATTTTCCCCTTCGGCCCCCGACCGACCGAAACTCACCCCCGCGAGTGCCACGGTGGCGGGCCACCCGCCCGTCCGCCTCATTTTCGCTCGATAACCGGCTGAGGATGCACACACATGTCGCCTCGCCGCCAAAACAAACCGTCTTTTTGCACTTCAGAGTTTTAAGAGAACAATGATAATTTTTTTAATTATTTCTTTGTATAAGTTAAGCTATAATATACAAAATAAATAATTTTAACGGATTTCTAAAATATTTTTTATTTAGTTTTTATCATATAATCGTATGATTAAATTTTTGATTTGATTTAATTAAAACTTGTTTCAAGCATATCTTGAAAATATACATTTTATAAGATATTTTTAATTACATATCGTTATTTTTCTCAACAATAATTGTGTTTTTTTTTTTTTTTTTTTTTTTTTTTTTTTTTTTTTTATAAATAGCACTAACATTAGATATGTTCCATAATATTAAATCCTAAAAAAAGAAATTAAAAAATATGAGTGTGATGTAACATTATATACTTGAAAACCATTCATTAGATTACAAACAATATATTATTTACAAAGTGGAAATAGTGGAATCAAAGTCACTGAAACTTTAACAATTCAATTGATAGCATCACCAATATACTACTTGCTGTGATTGGTCTCATACAAAATTCAGTGCACAGCAAACAATAATTGCAGTGCCTCATAATTGAGTTCCCCGAAACAATAATTGCGCGTGAAATTACCCCGGCGCGTAGCCATGCCCGGCTGCAGTAAATTTCAGGCCGATTTAATCGAGTTGTGCTCCCCATTCAACTCAGTGCAAGGGTGTGGTTCCCTCTCAGAGTGGGCAACCCTTCTTTACTCTACACATCGGATGTTCATTCAGGAGCATAATTCCAGCGGCTGCTGTGGCAATGACACAGTTACAAAAGACGCCAGCCTTCGTAGCCCAAAGTGCTCTTCGGTTTGCGAGTTCTCTTTTGACGTGTGTGGGTGCAAGTGGAACCCCCTAGGATTATACGCACCCACACACGTGCTCGTTAATTAGGCTGCTTTACAACTTCAGTAATTAAGGAGTAGCTCCGTTAATGGCCGTTGAAAAATTAGCCCATTCTGCTTTTAAACATGTTTGAAGTGGTTGTGGACGCGTATTTAGAAAATGTAAACAATGCCACCAAGAATTAAAATTTTGAAAAATCAGATGAAAATATTCTCATCTAGAACTAATTATAAACAACTGCATTTAAAACTTTGAAAACACACAACACGCTTGCAACTTTTAGCCACTTCAGAAAATTTGCCAGCTCGCATTCTCTCAAAGGACACACTTTTATTTACCTTTTCATATTGCCAGTTGGTTACGTGAGCAGAAACATAATCTTTGATCCATAATGGATTTCAAAATAACTTGAGCAAATCGCTGAGTCTCTGAAGTTAAAAGTTAGCGGTCCGCAAATTTCACATGATTAGGAAGTTTATCCCTTTAAACTTTAATAGTGAACTTATTTCAAAGTATGGGCTTTGGGGCAAATTATAAATTTAAAAAAAAAAATCTTGGCTTCTCTGATCCTTAAAATTAAAACTATTTGCACACGTATTCTCAAGCTCTACAACCTTATTGTTCATCTAAAATTTCTAGGTCAAAGTTCATCGCCTCTATTTTCAATACAATTATTTTCAATAGAAAACGGTTGCAAGTTTGAATAACAAATATTTGAGGCAGCCATTCAATTATTTATTCTATTTATTACGCCTCAAATTTTGTATTAATTGGTTTTAGAATCAGTATAATTGTTTATTGAGAAATTTATTTATTTTCAAAAACTCTCAAAATTTTTTTTCTTTAAATAAGTCTTTAAAAGCTTCGCTTTCTCTGTAATAATTGGACGGAAAACCCTCTGATTGTTTAATTTTTTTAGATGCTTTGCACCCAATTTATCTTGATTTGAATAATAATTGTCTCTTTCCAGGAATGGCCAAAATAAACTGATGGAAATTAGGTACGGCTTCGCCGCCTAAATGAATGCCTGTTTGTAAACAGTGCGTGCCAAAATTGAGCAGAAGCAGCCACGGTGGCCTAAAAATGGGCTATAAATACACTCGTTATCGCGGCCTTCGAAGATGAAAAGAGGAATATATACAGCACGCGCGGCGCTCGTCAATCCATAACCGCTGCGGCCAGCACCGCCGAAACCCCACCCTTTTATTAATAAAAAAGAGTTGCGTGGGGGTGTGTTTTGTTTCATTAACGGAAAACGCATAATTAGTTATCTCGCGGCGACATCGTAATTAATTTCGACTCACACAAACAAGCGGCCCGTGTGCTGACAGCAAATCTAATGCAACTTTCCCCCGAACATGAATGGTGGTGTTAATCGTCCAAAGCGTTAGCACGTGCCCATTAAGGGAAACTTACCGGGTGGGTGATCCCAGGAAAGTGAAGAACCACCGGCTCTTGCGGCCAGTCTTTAGTCACGTAGAAATAAAAATCCCAGACGCGGTCGGTCAGAAATGTCCTCAGTGTCTGTTGAAACTGTGAAAAAGAATAATAAGAGAGTTAGAAATGCAGCTGATTGAAATTAGTAAATTGAAGATTAATGCCATTTGAACAATATTAATAGAGTTTAAAATTTAGCATTTAATTCCACTTAAAATTCTTTCTAAAATCCACTTAAAAAAAAAACAGAGTAACATTGATAAAATTTGTATAGAAGGCAATGTCAAATAAAAAGCTTTAAAAAAAATCCGGAACTTTCCCAATAGTTATCTTTTTACGAAAACACAACTTAGTGGAAAATCATATTTCATAACAAAAATTTGTATAAAAATCTAAATATTATTAATTATTTTAATATTGAAGGCTTGAGTGATTAGATTATTGACGATTTTTTACCCAAATATTAAAGTTAGAGATGTTGTCAAAGTTGCCTGAATATTCATATTTTAATGTGAAATCTCATTTCTGCTTATATTAAAAAATTAGGGACCATAGAAAAAAGGCAATCGGAAAAAATAACTGCTTTGTCACTGATTTTTTTTCACAAATAATTTATAGCCTTAAATTTTATAATAATTTAAAGAAAGAAACCAGAAGAATATAAAAGACGATCGAAATCTTGTAGCCATTAATTGTAGAAGGATAGCCTAGGCCAGATCTCATCACTCTTAAGAACTTATCAATATTTTTGATACATTTTTTAATTATCCTTCCAAGAATTAAAGAAGGGTATTATTGTGTTTAAATAATTTTCATAATTGAAATAATTTTTTGAGAATATAAGCTCAGGTTTTAATTTAAACTAACTGTAAAAAGCATTGATATCATAAGAATCCTAATTTTTGAATCAAAACCCTCCGTTCTTTCAAAATTTACTTAACTCCATTTCTCACTTTTGATAAAGATAATCAAATTTATTTTACGGTGTGTTGCGTGTAAATCAACAACTACATTTGGCCCCGGACCAACTCACTGCCATTTTTTGATTGGGTTCACCGCCCCAGCCAGTTCTCGCGCACACATCATTCTCGCCAGTCGAAAGTGTGAGGTAGGCAACGCGCGTGACATACCTGAAGTGCGGTGTCGACGAGGCTGAATAATAATATATAACAAGCCGCTTGATGCAAAAACGGCGAGGGAATAAATGGCGCAAAGATCGACGGCGTGCGATATTAATAATGGCTCTCTCCGGCAGCCTTATTTCACCCTTCGATCCTCTCTTTCTCCCATGGCGCGGCGTTATTGAAAAATTGTTGCCTGAATTCTTCCGCAGGCTTTTGATGAGCGACACAGAGATAGAAGCGTTCCGACCCGGCACTCTTCTTTTCTGACGGAACGAGTATTATATAAATGTTTTGTATTGCGCCCTCTCCTCTTTGTGGCACAAAAGAAAACCGGATGCAAAAAAAAAAACGAAGCACTTGTGTTCGTTTCCAGTTATTGCAGTTGAAGAGTAGCAGGATAGATTTGCAAAATACAATTCGAGGAAAACAAGAACAAACTAGCAATATAAACAAATGAACTGCTGTTATGTGAAATTGAATTGCACGGCGAGTTCTACATTTGCCAAAGTTTTTTAATAAAAAAAATTACATGAAGTAAAATGCAGAGATGCAGAGAAATGCTTGATTTCTATGATTTTTTTTTCTCAATAACAAATAAATTATTATTTGATGCAATATAAAATTATTCAAAAAGACAATCAGTCTCTAACAAAATAGGAAAAATTGTATTTTATAGGCAGATTTATTTCTTATTTCTATCATTTTTGCTTTTCATGTCAGTTTCTAATTTTCACTGTTGCAACAATAAATGAGCTTGCTACGATTCCTGTATAAAATTTGATGGAATATTTTTCTGAAAACAATACAATCTGTGAAAAAAATTATGAAGATTAAAAAAAATGGGCTTGTTTGACCTGCCATTAAATCCATGTTATGGAGCAGTTTTGATTCCAGAGTACAACATATGAGCTTTATCAGAAATTAAGATTTTTTAGATTTTAACTTGCAAGCAAAGAAAACCATAAAGTTGCAACAAAATCAGTTTTATTATAAAATAATTTTCTATGGCAACCAAATTAAATTACATAAAATGTTTGAATTGTTCTGACCATACGAGCACAAATTTTAAAAATTTCTCCGGATTAAAAAATAATGATGATTTTTATTTTTTTTTTCGAGAAAAAAATAATTTCCCATCCTCTGCAAGTCCCATCGGTGACAAAACCTGTGATTGAATAGGCCATTGAAGCAACAAGCAATGCACACTCTGATAACGATTTGTGTCCACGAGGTGATTGAAAAAGTCTCAATTATGGCTTATGGCACTCAACGGTGGCCTTGCGCGCTCCAGTAAAGAAAGCACGGAGTCGGAAGAATCGAGTGCTTGCAGCAGTTGGAAAAATCGTCAAGTGAATGCATATGTGTAATGTAGCAGGATAAGCTTTCCAACGACAAAGAGAGAGAGAGAGAGTTACAACTCAATCGACTTTTATTTTCATATGCCTCGTTTTCTTCCGCCGCATATCAGGCGCAGCATAACACAGTCTATTTGAACGGCAGTGTCAAGGAGGAAAAATGCACTTTTTGGCCCGCGGGTTCATTCATGCGCGACGTTAAATATTTAGAGCGCACTGCTATGAAGCAAATTAATATTTCATCTCTTGGCGAATGAAACACAAACACACGTACAAATGAGAGAGCATTCGAAAATAGGTCAGCCGAACAGGAAAAAAGCAACGAGTCGTCGGCGCTCTTTTGAGGGCCTGCTAATTAGAGGAGTGTGCTGGCTCACGCTTTATTTTTGTTGCTCACCCCACCGCGAAAATCACCAACTTTTGTGCTCAATCTGTCCCTAATTAGAACAAGGCTTGCGAAAAAGATTTTTAATTAAATATTTGCACTAAATATTTAAAATTATTGTCTTTATTAAACACAAATGTATTGATCTATAATTTATATAATATAAACCTAAAATTAAAATTAATGAAATTGAAGTTTCAAGTTTTATCTATATCTAGTGTAGCATATTCGGTAAGAGACTTTACTCTTTTCGAACAATTAAGGAGGTGATACTGGGAAATCTCCTTTTCATCACAAAGTTCACATACACAATTTGTTCTCGCAGTATGGAAAGTTTTATCTTTACAAATACAATGATGAAAGCCGTGCATCACAAACCGGGTTTGAACATGTCTGTTTTTAAACTAAATATAACTTTTAATTTAATTTTACTAAATACTTAAGGTATCTAATTTTATAAACATTATTTTAAAAATAAAATTAATTTGTAGATTACGCTTATTATAATTATTTAAAAAAAATTTATTAATTAATTTTAAAAAGTTTCAATCAAGGCAAACAATTTGATCTTATAGTTCAGTAAAACCTCATATATTGAAACAAAAAAAAGGGTATATTAATTTTATGAAATAAAAAATTTATACTCACTAGATGTATGGTTTTAATGCAATATTCAACTAATGTTGTCTCCTGATCAGTGTTCATATTGAGCTTTATGCATAATGGTCAAATAAAGAAATTCATACACACAATTTGCAACTAATTTGTTTTGAAAAACTACCTGCTCAAAAGTTTGTTCGATATTAGGGTAAATATTATTGATAAAAGTTGAATGGAGTGGATTTTCAACAAGTAATTTTGTTCTATTTTTAAAGTGCCCCATTTCAAATGCAAATCGAGCGGCAGAAAAGTTAGGACTCATTTCATACCTGTAGCCGAGCCCCATTGTGAAAATTCTGATGCTCCGTCTGAAGACGAGAGCTCCTTTTTCCTGCACGCTCTCTGCGAATAATGGCAGAGAAAAATTGCCGTCTGCGCGCCACTTGTTTGTATGCAAAAGAGTGACTGCTGCCTCGTTTCCGAGTATTGTGAGTGAAAGCAGCTTGAAAGAAAAAATAGTTAAGCAAACTTTTTGCCCAAAAACGCGCTCCATATTTCAGATGGCACTTTTTAGATCGTAAATTTATTCTTTAAAAAATATTCTTACGTTTTCCGCATTATAAAAAAATTAAAAGTTTGTTTTCTTTCCACGATGTTTGCCTGTTTCGATTTGACCTCTGACCTTAAATGCCGAGCAAACCTTTGCCCAGGAGCGTCGGTCTCACCAGGCCGGTTACACAAAAGAATGTCCATCGATCTGGGTGTCTAAATGTAGTCGGTGATAAGCGCCGGAGGAAATTTCCCAGTGATGCCAACGGTTGTTAAAATGAGGAAAATTGTGGAAATAAATATTTACGTTTGAAATAACCGCCCACAGCAGTAATGATTGGAAATTCGCATCGCGCTCTGCGGAACATATCGATTACGTTGGAAGTGCCACTTGAGCTGGAAGAATTCTCTGAGGCGCTTTGCCACGTTTCCAAAACACGCCTACACGTGCGACCTCTGTCATTTCGGGGCCAAAATGAGTTTCTAATTTCGTTGCCCTTTCAAATGGTAACGAGATAGATGCTCTGGAGGATAAATTTAAATTTACCTCGTGGGATGTACGTTTTGGAATTGCAAATTAAAGTAAAATACCTAAGCCTACATGCATCATTTTGCAAATAAGACTTACTTACTTGCAAAGGAAACACTCCTTATTTTAGTGCAGTTGAGAATAAACAATTTAAAATTAAAATAAATAATTAGTTGACTTTAAAATTGATTTTTAATTTATATAAAAACACATAATAATTTAATTGAAGTATGTATTCACCATCGTAGATTATTTCAAATGTTTTGCATTAAAAAACATCAGCAGTTTAACAAAATAATTTTTGCACTCTCTTTTGTTTCTGTTTGGCACGTCAGGGAACGTGGAAATTGGTGGAAATATGCTCATTGTGGAGCATACGTGGCAAAACATGCAGTAAAAAATACCCGCTCGGAGCGTTTAAAAAACGGCCATTTGCTACTTTTATCGCAATAATAACAACGTGCCACTTTCCGCGCCGCCGACGCTTCCTTCGAATAAATCAACCCGGCGGTCCAGTGTCGAGATATAAAATAGAAAGAAAAAATAAATTATCT